GGGGTTTCACCATGTTGACCAGGATGGTCTCGATCTCTTGACCTTGTGATCCACCCGCCTCAGCCTCCCAAAGTGCTGGGATTACAGGCGTGAGCCACCGCGCCCAGCTCTGTCATCTATTTTTTTAAAGGGTCATAAACTTCTTAACATGTATATACATACAGGCATTTTACCCAGTGTTTTCCTTTGAGAAGTGAGGATAGAAACTAACCTGTAAGAAGAGTGCCCTCTGCTGCCACTTGTTCAAAATAGCTCTTCTGTCTGGCCATACCAAGGAAAACACTTTAAAAGGTTCTTAGCGTATCTGGCTGCTGTTTATAACAAAAAAATGAATAAGTAGCATCTTTGCCTCTTAAAATATCTTTAAGATTTTTTTTCTGTTTTGTAGACAGACATGTTGCTGTATTTTCCCATTTGGTTTTATTCTTTCCATGGTAACTGTAAAGCAAACATATCTAAGAAACAGACATTGGATAATTATGCAGTAGATTGGAAGCATTTCTCCCAAACTCTTAACTAAATAAAGTAAATCCTTCTCTAGGTGCACAAATCTGTAGGTCAGAGGCCAAGATTTCCCCACTAGGAATAGCTCATCATTGTAGGCAGGAGGAAATGGCTTTATTTCCCCCAGGGCACCCAGGAAAAGGTGCTGACCTTTACAACCAGCTCTGCTTGCTATTCCAGGGGAAAGCAGGAAGGGAGGGGCAGAAGGACAGACCTATAAATGTTCTATGACAATTACTTGGCAGTAATGTTTCAAAGAAATCATGGAAGCCTTTACTTGGCATTCTGTACTAAGCAGTGCATTGAAATAGGTTGGTTCCAGCTCTGCACTGCACGCCCATACCTGGCCCCTCTGGGTGTACTAAACACAGACAGGAGTGACACCACTACCCCAGGTGTTAGCCTGGAAACTTCTCTCCCTTCCATACATCATTCCTGCTTTCATCTCCGTAGCTGGCAGCTTCCCTGGGTCTGTTGTGTGGATTCCGGGATCAACTTCTGAGCTCTTGCCCTTCTCTGAAACACCACTGTTGGCTGATGCTATAACTCAGGACTCTGAAGGGCTCTTGATTCTGAAATACTGGCAACTTCAGGGAGAAGACACTCCCTTGGCCAGCCTCATCCCAGCCTCTAGTTGGGGAAAGGAGATTGGACATTGCTACATTTTTAGGCAAGGTATTTATCTTCTCTAAACTTGTTTCCTCATCTCTAAAATGGAAATGATAAAAGAACTCACATCATCAAGTTTTTGTGAGAATTACAGCTGATAAAGCACTTAGGATAAGTGTCGATTATTATAACATAGTAATAACATATATGTTATGGGATATTATTGAAGTTTTTTGGACAGAGGACAAATATTAATATATGAGTATCTAGTGGCTGTGACCAGGACAGAGAGAGGAAGGTTAAAAAAATCAAGGGAAGGAGTTTTGTCCATAATAAATTAAGTTTAAAAATATATAACATTAAGTCTGGAGATAAATAGACCAAATACTAACAATGGTTATCTTTGGCTTTTTTTGTTTTATTTTCAGCTTTAAGTTTTTCTTTTTCTTTTTTGTGGATACATATATAAATGGGTCACATGAGATATTTTCATACAGGCATGCAATGTGTAATAATCATATCAAGGCAAATAGGACATCCATCATTTGAAGTATTTATCCTTTGTCTTACAATTCAATTATACTCTTTTATTTTAAAATGTAAAATTTAATTATTTTTGACTATAGTCACTCTGTTGTGCTATAAAATACTAGGTCTTATTCATTATTTCTAACTTTTTTTTTTGAGACAGCCTTGCTCTGTCACCCAGGCTGGAGTGCAGTGGTGTGATCTGGCTCAGTGCGACCTCGGCCTCCTGGGCTCAAGCGATTCTCCTTGCCTTAGCCTCCTGAATAGCTGGGATTACAGGCACAGACCTCCACACCTGGATAATTTTTGTATTTTTAGTAGAGATGGGGGTTTTACCATGTTGGTCAGGCTGTTCTTAAACTCCTGACCTCAAGTGATTACAGGTGTGAGCCACTATACCTGGCACTATTTTGTGTACCCATTAACTATTAACTCCCCTTCCCAGTCTGTGGAAGGGAAGTTGGGGATTGGGGTAAGGGGTGATAGTTAATGGGTACACAAAATAGTGCCAGGTGTGTGGCTCACACCTGTAATCACTTAAGGTGAGGAGTTTAAGTGACCTCATTCTACTCTCTGTCTCTGTGAGTTCAATTGTTTAAATTTTTAGCTCCCACAAAAAAATGAGAACATGCAAAGTTTTTCTTTCTGTGCTTGGCTTATTTCACTTAATAAACTCCAATTTCACGACAATGGTTAACTTTGAGTGAGGAATTTATAGATGATGACTTTTTTTCTTCTCCTATTTCTCAAATTTTCTGTGAGTACTTTTATAATACTTTTATAATAAAAAATGTGAAATTTTGTTGTTAAAAAGCCATCATTTGTTCTTTCTTTTCATTAACTTATACAATTAACCCATGATTGTATTCTCAATCTAAAGCTTACAAGTCAAAGGTAAAGCTAAAACCCCTTCACGGACACACACACAAATGCTACTTAATGCAGTCACTTCTCAGAGGTGGTCATGATGTTAGTTTTGTGCAGACTTTTCTAGATATTTTTCTGTCCACTCATGTATTACTGGCTCATTGATCAGTTTGTGACAAGCATGATCAAACATGCTTTATTTTTCTTTCCATCATCTCTTCAGAACTTGTTGAGTTGGGGGTAATCATCTCTTATCACTAGATGAAGAACAGGGCCATTCTCAAGGCTTTCTGGTCAGTCACAGGTGATGGACATTTCCGTATTTTCTTCCTTGGAAGACAGAGGGTCTGTTAGGAAATTTTAAATATCCAGTGTAAAGTACACAACACACCGTCCTATGCCAGAGGGGAAAAACCTGAGCCTAAATGTAATCAAAACTGTAGATGAGTGGTTTTCAATGTCGGTTGCATACTTGGATCATCTGAGATAGTTTAAAAAAATACCTACATCTCAGTTTCCCCCAAAAGTCTCTGGTTTAATTGCTCTTGGATTTGCCTGGGCTTCAGGGTTTTTAAGAGCTCCCCAGATAATTGTAATGGGCCACCTTTGAGAAGCACTGCTCTGGATCTAACATCCAATTTACAGAAAATACAGGGGAAAGGATAGAACAGCATGGAGTGCAATAAGTAATATCCACACTGGGACATGCTATAGAACAAACACTCAATTTCTTTTTCTTTTTTTTTTTTGAGACGGAGTTTCGCTCTTGTTACCCAGGCTGGAGTGCAATGGTGCGATCTCGGCTCACCGCAACCTCCACCTCCCGGGTTCAGGCAATTCTCCTGCCTCAGCCTCCTGAGTAGCTGGGATTACAGGCACGCACCACCATGCCCAGCTAATTTTTTGTATTTTTAGTAGAGACGGGGTTTCACCATGTTGACCAGGATGGTCTCGATCTCTTGACCTCGTGATCCACCCGCCTCGGCCTCCCACAGTGCTGGGATTACAGGCTTAAGCCACCGCGCCCGGCAAAACACTCAATTTCTTTACAGAAAGTTGTAAGAAAAAAAAGGTGAGGAGGAGAGAGGAACCTACAGGTTGAAAGTGACTTACAAGAAATTGTTAATTGCAATGTGTAAAGAGATCTTTTTGGGTCTTCAGGTGAACACAGAAAATATATGAAAATTTTTACACATCAAACAGGAATATTTGAACATTCAGTAGATATTTGACATTAGGGGTTGTTTTTAATTTTGAGGCTATAATAATATTGTGGTTTTTTTTTTTTTTACAAATTTTTATTTTTTAAACTTTTATTTTAGGTTCATGGGTACATGTGCAGGTTCGTTATACAGGTAAACTCATGTTATGGGGGTTTGTTGTACAGATTATTTTGTCACCCAGGTACTAAGCCTGGTGCTCCATAGTTTTTGTTTTCTGCTCCTCTCCCTCCTCCCTACCTGAGGCTTCAGGTAGGCCTCAGTGTCTGTTGTTGTTTTATTTTTAAAACAGTTCTTATCTTTCAGAGACATGTTGAAATAAGTGAATGAAATATATCCAGATTATATATCTGAGATGTGCATTACAAGAAACCTAGGAGAGGGAGGAGGGGGTGAGGATGTAGATTAAAAAAAAAAAAAAAAAGATTGACCATGAGTTGATAATTGTTGAAGCTAGACAATGGCTACATAAGGAATTCATTATTCTATTTCCTCTATTTTTTGTATGCTTAAAAGTTTCCAAAATAAGAAGTTGTTGTTGTTTTTTCTTTGTTTTGTTTTGTTTTTGAGAAGGAGTCTTGCTGTCACCAGGCTGGAGTGCAGTGGTGTGATCTCAGCTTACTGCAACCTCCACCTTCCGGGTTGAAGCAAGTCTTCTGCCTCAGCCTTCCGAGTAGCTGGGACTACAGGTGTGTGCCACCACGCCCAGTTAATTTGTGTTTATGTGTGTTTTTTTAGCGGAGATGGGGTTTTACTGAGTTGGCCAGGATAGTCTCAATCTCTTGACCTCATGGTCCCGCCTGCCCCAGCCTCCCAAAGTGCTGGTGTTAGAGGTGTAAGCCACCTCGCCCAGCCCAAAATAAGAAGTTTGTTAGAATGCTCAATCCAAGATATGAATCAACAATTTAGTGCTCATTTAAAGATAGAACATCTTTTTCCCACTACAGCGTGCAGTTCTTGGCTGTCTGCTTTTGGGGAGACGTGTGTGACCATCTGTCCCACCTCTTGCCCATCACCACCACCTCTCCCTTGCTGACCGTTGCTTCCCAAGGCCAATACCAGAGGGCAGAGGAGACATGAGGGCATTAGACAGCTCTTACTTACTGGGTGGCCTTGGGCTCCCACCCTGGCTGGTTTTAAAGCTGGCTTTTCTAGGTTTTGATCACTTTGCTTGTGTTAATGGGTCTAATTCTGTCCTCCCAAAAGACATTTTTTTTTTTTTTTAAGACAAAGTCTCGCTCTGTTGCCCAGGCTGGAGTGCAGTGGCATGATCTCGGTTCACTGCAACCTCTGCCTCCCAGGTTCCAGAGATTCTCCTGCCTCAGCCTTCTAAGTAGCTGGAATTACAGGTGCCCACCACCACTCCTGGCTAATTTTTGGTATTTTTAGTACAGATGAAATTTCACCATGTTGGCCAGGCTGGCCTTGAACCCCTGACGTCAGGTGATCCACCTGCCTCAGCCTCCCAAAGTGCTGGGATTGCAGGTGTGAGCCACTGTGCTTTCACATTTTAAAATTTGGCCAAATGCACTCTTAACACGGGTAATTCACCTTGTATTCTCTCTCATTGGCAATGTGTTAGGGCGTTCTTTTACTCTAGTCTCACAACTCAAGGTACTCCTCTACTTCCCAATGTAATGTTCCAAATTGCTATGAACTCATATCAACTAACTAAATAGACTGCATACAGGTGAATTTCTTCACCTGGATATTGTCAGCTGATACTCAGTATTCATTGCCTCTTCATTTTAGTGCACCTTCCAGTGTGGCAGAAATTGGAAAGCTTTACAACAAATAAACTATATTTTGACACTTTCCTGCAGCTAAGGTTCTGGATGCAAGTTAGGCCCTGCCATGAGATGCTTCATTGGAAAGTGGAAGGTAGAAATGAGGTGGAAGCATTTTTCTCTTGCTCTTTTGACTGTTTTCTGATGTCACATATGGCCATAGGATGGAGCTCCTCACACCCCCCAGAAGTGGTCCAGTGTGCAGTCTCTCCAGATTTGTGGGTGGTAAGGGGCATTTGCTGTGGTGCCAGTGAAGCCCAGATACCAGCTCCTTGATCTTGGATCTTATCTGCACTAGCATTATCTTGGACTGTGATCTCTGGACTCAGTAATTCCAGTGGCAATCTCTTGGTATTCCAGCTCCCTGGCTGGGACAGTTGTAATAGCTTCTCTGGTGAGTCAGTTCTGCAGTGTTCTGGGGATAACTCCTGGAAACCTAGCATATAGCCTAGTTCTGCCAAATTTATAAACATCCAATTCCTGTATTAAATCCCATTCTGCATAAAATCCCTAGGGCGGTATCTGCTTCCTGCAATTGAACCCTACCTGATACAGGCTTGTATCCGTGATTATGAGTCTTCTAATTTTACCTCTCAATTAGAGGCAATGGCCCTGCTTAGCCATAGTAGATGTCCTCAGCTCCCTTGTTGGTAGACCAGGAGGAGAAATTCTTGGTATTCAGCATAATGGATTTCCACAAAAAAAGTGCTTACTGAGCCTCAGGTACTGGAACTAACAGATGAAAGAGACAATATCATGTTGTGAGTAAACAGAACTTCAGGCTTACATTCTGTATCCCATATTCTGTTTGTGGCTATGTCCCTTACTAGCAAAATGACCTTCATGAAATCCCTAACTATTTCTGGGACTGAATCTCCTTGATTTTAAAATAATGGGTGCCAGGCTGGGTATAGTAGACCACATCTGTAATCCCAGTGCTTTGAAATGGTGGAACAGGTGGATCGCTGAAGGTTAGGAATTTGAAGCTACAGTGAGCTATGATCACGCCACTGCACTCCAGCCTGGGAAACAGAGCAAGACTCTGTCTCTAAAAAATAAAGTAAAATAAAATAAGGGATTTAAGATGACTTTTAAGGTCTACTTTAGCTCCAAGATTCTGTGGTCCTGTGAAATCACTATTACAAACCTAAGCATGAAATGGTTAAACGTTAAATAATGTCATGGTTCACTAAACACTAAAACTCTTGCAAATGACAGGTTTGTTCCTCTTCCCCCTTGCTCTGCTAGTCAGTCTTGAGGCATTATGGTTTCTCCTCTTCTATCTGCTTGCTTTTGTTCCATCTTCCATTAATGGCAAATTGACATAAAATTGCAGTTCCGGAGAAGTAGCGGTGTTGCTATGGAAACAGCCTTGATTCATTGATGTAAACATTAAGCTGTTGATGCTCATCCCTGAGGTGCTGGCAAAAAGAAAAAAACACAAAATAAATGTTATAGTAAGAATGACATTTTGTTTTCAGAGAAGGTGGCCCACACTCTGAAGGTATATGTAGCACATTCTTACCAGGATTCGGATCTACCCTAGGCCTAATGATGCTCCCTGCCTCACAATGTCTGATGTGATGCAGTGAGAATGAAATGTGGTATGAGTCTGACTCCCCTGCATTTGTATTACAAGGAAATCCCAGAACTCATTGTGATTAACATAAAACAAAAATACTTCCCTTTTAGGCTGATTGGTTGTGGCTCAAAATTGTCCCCTTTAGGGGCTTAACGAAATTTTATTTTTTTCCCTTCAAACTGAATATCTCATTTACTTTTGGAAAGATTTACTATTTTAGGACCTTTCTTTTTTCTTTTGGGGGAGTGTCTAAAATTGTTTTTTAAACAAAAATTGTGTATTCCAATAATTAAAATCATTTTACACATAAAAAAATAGCACTCTGACTAAACAGGATTTATTAGCTAGCAGGACACCTTAGGCCAGCTTGGTTTCACTCCAGATTTTGTTGTCATCCCACCAACTTCTTCCTTCACCAACATGCAAGTTCTTTTCCTTCTGTCACAGCCAGACAGGCAGAGGGGAGAGGCAGGTGCAGCCCTCATCATCAGTGGTTCTCAATTCTTTGATGTGAACTGGACAGCACAGGCATTACGCTTGATCTAGTCTCTTTGCATTGTACGAAGTTAAACAGCAAAACAAAATAAAATATGAAGGCAATACCTGTGGAATACATACTGCACACTGGCATGTATGCCTCATTGCGATTTGCCTGCTTGCTTCTGTTCTGTGGTTTCTTTGGAAGGCAGCAGATTTTTCTCTTGTGTTTCTGTATTCTTCAGTTTCAACTTATTGAATTTCTTGATTTCAGCCATGGCAGGTTTGCCAGGTGTGGACGAAGTAGAGTGAAACACAAGAGTAAATGGAATCTTGCTCTTTTCTATTTCCCTTTCTTGGCCTTTTCTATTTCCCTTTCCCCTTCCTTCCTTCCTTCCTCCCTCCCTCCCTCTCCCTCCCTCTCCTTCCCTCCCCTTCCTTCTCTTTCCCTCCCACTCTTTTTCCTTCCCTCTTCCTTCCCTCCCTCCCTCCCTCCTTCCTTCTTTCTCTCTTTCTTCTTTCTCCCTTTCTCTCTTTCTCTTTCTCTCCCTCTTTCTTTCTCTCCCTCTTTCTTTCTTTCTTTCTTTCTTTCTTTCTTTCTTTCTTTCTTTCTTTCTTTCTTTCTTTCTTCTTTCTTTCTTTCTTTCTTTCTCTTGCTTTCTTGCTTTCTTTCTTTTTTCTTTCTCTTTCTTTTTCCTTCCTTCCTGCCTGCCTGCCTTCTTTCGTTCCTTAGCTTTATTGAAGTATAATGTATATACAATAAAATCCACTCACTTTAAGAGTACTGTTTGATGAATTTGGATGATTTATGCAGTCATTTAACTTCCACCAACATTGAGGTACAGAAGGGTTCCATCACCCTAAAAAGAACCTTTTGTGTTTTCCCATAGATCCCCTTCACGTTCAGCCCCAGTCCCAGATAACCATAAATCTGATTTCTGTCACTATGGTTTTACCTTTAGTAGAATTTTATGTAAATGGAATCATACAGTGTGTAATCTTCATGTTTCACTTAAAATTGATTTCTTTGATATTCGTCCATATTGCTGTATAAATGATTTCATTCTTTTTTCTTGCTATATAATATTCTGTAAAATGGATATACCAAAATTTGTTTATTCACTTACCAGTTGATAGAAATTTGGCTTGTTGGCAGTTTCTGGCTATTGTAAATAATGTTGCTACATACAAGACTTTGTATGGACATGTGTGGTTGTTTCTCTTGAGTAACTACCTTGAAGTTGGATTGTTGGGTTGTATGGTAAGTGCGTAAAGTTTCATAACTAAGAATCTGCCATACTGTTTCCAGAGTGGCTATACCAATTTGCATTCCCACTTGCAATGTATGAGGGTTCCAGCTGCTTCACATCCTTGCCAACACTGGGTATGTTCTCCCAATTTCTGTACTAATTTCTTGGTGGACTAGCACCAATTTATAGACCATACTTTACGTAAGACTACTCCAACCCATTCATAAAAATATGGCCACAGTCCCAAATGTCATCTAATAAAGAACTAGGCATTCTGACTATTGCTGACCAGAACAACAGGTTCTAATGCAATACTCCCCCTGAATCAAGAAAATGAATATGACATAAGTGTAGCTCTATGGCGTTTTTATGGATTCTACTTTTAATCAACACTGGGGTATACTTTTTGTTTGAGAAGCGCTATGAGTTTTCTTTCTTAAATAATAGAAAAGAAATGTAATATCTATTTCTAAAAAATGAATACAAATCTAGTTCTGACAGACCTTGTGGCATTGAAAGCATGTCCATTGGCATAGTTTCTGGCCTCTTTAGCAGTGCCTGGATTGAGCTTGGTTGAGCTTGTCTATAATGGGTAAACACACAGACAGACTCAGGAGCAGAGGCAGTGACACATGTATTGGATAAGGCAGATGAAGTCAAGGGCATGCATCTTGAGCTAGAGTGGGAAAAAAGACCAACTTGAACACTAATTAGGAGCCATGGGGAATGGAACATATTGCTGGAAGGAACAGCTGTAGCAACTTTTCTAACTCAGGTAAGTTTCTCAAAATTTGGTGACAGGAAGGAAGAAAAACAATTGATCTGAGATGTCAGCATAGCCTGTTAGCTTTTCAATTTTCTGCCCCGTAGAGGCAAACATGAGTCACTGCACAGCCAGATGAATAAAGTGCCACACAGTTATGTGCGTAGATTAAAATCTGGATGCAAGAACTCCAAGGACAGGCTGACTCAGTTGCTTATTTGTGACTAATGAGCACATTCAAATAGAATATTCAGAAATCCACAAAACACACTTATGTCTAATCACTTATAGAGGGTAGGTTGGAACTGAGTGGGGTTATTTTGCTAAATGATACAGAAGAAATTCTATTAAAAGACGAATTCTGCTGGGTGTGGTGGCTCATGCCTATAATCCTAACATTTTGGGAGGCTGAGGTGGGCAGATCACTTGAGGTCAGGAGTTTGAGACCGGCCTGGCCAACATGGTGAAACCCTGTCTCTACTAAAAATAGAAAAATCAGCCCGGCATGGTGGCGGACACCTGTAATTCCAGCTACTCAGGAGGCTCAGGCAGGAGAAACACTTGAACCTGGGAGGCGGACGTTGCAGTGAGCCGAGATCACACCACTACACTCCAGCGTGGGCAACAAAGTGAGACTTCATTTCAAAAAAAAAAAGATTAATTCACTATGGAGAAATTGCAGTATACTCAGAATAAAAGTAGCCATAAAGTGTGGGAGATCCTGTTGAGATAACACTGCCACCTTGCTAGTGGGTTATTTTTAGCAACATATGCTGGACTGGGATACAGTTATTGGAGACACCTAGAATTAGACCTGTATTAGAACAGGACACACATTTTTTCACACACAAAAAAAGTTTTTGGGAAGTTTATATTGAAGAGTTATTTTGGGTAAGAGAGGCTTATAAAAAGTAAAGTATTATCATTTAAAATTTTGAAACTCTTCTCTTTTCCCCTTTGGTATAATTAGTTTTAAGTGCATTTACAGTGGCTACAATAATTAAAACGTACTTGTCTTTTTTGAGAGGTCGAGGCGGGTGGATCAGTTGAGGTCAGGAGCCTGGCCAACATGGTGAAACCCCGTCTCTACTAAAAATACAAAAATTAGCCGGGTGTGGTGGCACGTGTTTGTAGTCCCAGCTACTTGGAAAGGTCTCAGCTGAGGCAGGAGAATCACTCGAACCTGAGAGGCGGAGGCTGCAGTGAGCCGAGATCGCACCATTGCACTCCAGCCTGGGGCAACAGAGGGAGACACTATCTCAAAAAANAAAAAAAAAAAAAAAGAGTACTTATCTTTAAGGCATAAAATACCAGTTAAAAATATCCAGGTTTATGACTAGGGAAGCAAAGCACTGTTGGATGCTTTATATAGTTTATATACATTAAAATTTATTGCATACTCATTGCGTCAGCAAGTATGAGGTCTTCTCTAAAGGGCTGATGTAAATGTAGTACATCATTTAAGTATGAAAATAATCAGTGAACATCTGGGTTAAGGGGGCCGGGCTGCTAGGCAGAGAGATGTCTGACTCACCTCCCTGCTCCTCAACATGCATGCTTTCCAAAATGATTCATGAAAGCTTTTCATAGAATCAGCTGCCAATTGCAACTGCCCAGGCAGGAAACACTTTAGTCAACTATCTGTCACACACCAGGAGAAGTTTTATTAACCTGTGTCTAAGGGGC